CTCTCTCTCTTTTTTTTTTTTGCATTTGCCTTTGTTAATCCTCTGCCTTCAAGGGAACAAAGAGATTCTTCCACCTGGAGAGGCTGGAAAGAAGGAAAAATGTGGAGCAAGCAGCATGCCTGATCTGCGCTTGTATTGTCCTGCAGCCTTGCAACCATCCTGGAAAGCCCAATTAAAGGGAAAACCCAGGAAGCAGAAGTTGCAGCATCTGTGGAATCAAAGTGATGTGGGGTTTTCTTTCCTCCAAAGAGGAGAACCTGCTGATCTTTACCTTGTCCTGCAGAGAAAGGTCATCCTGCCATGCACTGCTAGAAAAGGAAGAGCCTTCCCTGCCCCTATAGCTGGTGGTATTGTGGAGTGGAGAAAGCTGTGGGTCCATTCTATTATATGGTGACTAGCATTGCACTAGAGACTGTCTTAATGCCGCTCTCATCTTTTGTTCAATCATGTGGAGTGATTAATATGCTCTCAGGCACTGAGAGGCTTGAGGCACTTGACTGTCTCCTATTTCTGTACTTAATAAACAGAATATTCCACAAGAAGAACTTGCAATTCATCTTTCACTACTGTGCGGGGAGTTACTCCAAGTCCCAGCTCTGACTGTGCGTCTCTTTTGCCCAGGGAATTAATAGACTCTTCCATAGCTTAGCTCCCTCTGTTCTCACTCTGGTTGCCAAATTAACCTTCATCTCACCTACTTTTTCTTCATGTCTCACTTCAATTTAGTTCTCAAATTGTTCACATGACAAAAGGAGTTGTCCTTCCTACAGCTTCTGCTCTGATAAGATACCTGAGTTTTCTGTGAATGGCTGAAGAAGGGAATATCTTCTCTCCCTCCCTCCCTTTAGTTTCCCTATGGTATTTTAGGTCCAGAAGTCTCCCTGAGGCTACTTCTCCTGGGAGTGCAGTAAGCAGTTTGGACTGCAGTGTGCCAAGTGACTGAGTTGTTGCCCTTGGTGAATACACTAAAGCACTTACTGGTGCTAATTAATGTTATTGCATCATATCACATTTATTTAGACTTTAGTATTGCATAGGCAGTACTGCAGAGGCTGGATGCTGCTCACCAACATCCCCTGTGCTTACTTGTCTCATACGGCTTGTATTGGTTCACAGTAGACAAGTCTGAAACGCTAAAAAATAGAAGGAATCTGCTTTTCTTATCATTTATCAGCTCCTCAGGCTTTGACTGCTGGGAAGACGCTGTAGGTGCATGCTTTTCCTCTGCAATTAATGCACAGGCAAGCTGCTAGCAGGATTAGGGATGTGAGAGCACTGCTGAGGATGGCTTCCTGCGAGAGCACTTGCTGAGGATGTGCTGTGCACAGATCTTCCTGCCCTCTTCACAGACCTGGCTTTGGCTTGGAAAATAAACTGGGAACATTGTGGCTGCTTTAGTGCCTGTGCTTATTCTGGCAAGAGGAGGCCCCTCTGCCTGTGGGTCCGCACTGTGCTGGTGGGGCTGATTCAGTGGAAGGCTTGTTTAACCTTTATGTCTGCTTTGAGATGCTCCTATGTTAGCAAGCAGCTTGCCAGCCCCCCCCCCCCCCCCCCCCCCCAAGGGCACCTTCCCAGTGATCCTCCTGGTCTGAGCTGGGCAGTAGCTCTGGGGCAGGACAGGAGCCTTGGTCACCCTAGGGATGAATGCACTGTATTGCAAGAGGTGTCAGACTCTCCCAGGGCTTGGACTTGCTGGTTCACAGCTCAAAAGATTCGGGGTGACCCTTCCAGAACCCCCTTGCAGCACGATTCCTGCCACCACATGCACAGGGACAGTCAGATGGGATTAATCTTTGTGTTTCAGATGGTTCAGTGTGGTGGGAGAGGAGTGGGACAATCACAGACTGTGACACCTTTGGTCCTGAAAGTGGTTTTAAGGGGGAGATCTGTGCTGCAGTATGTGATAACTCTTGATGTTTCCTTTCACTGGGATCCCAGATCTTCATCCTCCAGAAAGGGCTTGGCATTGCCTGAAGCATCATCAGAGAACAAAGGCAAAGCTGTTAATTAAGACAGAGCTAATTCTGGCAGCTGACTGCCGCCATCTCAATGTGCTGCCGGCTGTGCCGCAGGAGCAGAGGGACTGGCCGTGCACAGCAGGCATGGGACTGCCAGAAGCCCTCCCGGAGGCTCTTTGTACTCTTAGCATGACTTTTTAGCCCTGTGTCCTTCCTGGATGGATGCCTGGTGGGCATCACTGGGGGTTATGTGTGGCCTGGAGGGGTGCTTTGCCTTCTGCAAGACACTTTGAGCACTGTGATGCACTGCTGCCGCTGCCTGTGGTCTGGGGCCTTTTGCTCTGATTGCAGCTCTGGGATGTGGGGTTCTGGGGAGAAGCAAATGAGATGGGACCCTGCTGGTGGCCTTCAGGTGGGGATCTGAAGGAAGTCCATCCTGATGGATGGGGCACTGCAGGAGAAGCATCCCAAACATGGCTAGTTCAGAAGGCGAAATGGGGCAAAATATGCCAGCCAGCCAGCTTTATTGCCCTTGGTGTGTCCTTTAGCGGGATGTTGGTGTGGCCGTGATTTCTGTGGAAGCTGATGACCATAATCCCATCAGGTGAGCAAGAAAGAGTGGCCCTATGGCAAATGATGCTGCCTCCCTGTGCCTGCCCTCTGAATGAGGGCTTTTCCTGAGCTGCTTCCTCTAAAAGTGAAGCATTGCTGTTGAGACTTGGAGCAAGGCTGACAGAAGAGAAAGCTTTCTGAACAAACACAGCTGGCTTTTACCCAGCACAGCCAACTCTTTGGCCAGCTGAAAAGAAATCAGAAGAATATTGATTTATTTTCTTCTTTTTTTTCTTTATACAAAAGTTGTCAGGCTCTTTTTCTTTGTCAGACGTTGGCTTCTGAATGCAAGTTTAAGTTTTTCAGTGGATAGCAATTGTTTATTTTGGTTATTCCCCCCCCCAATAACCGAGGCAGTTCTCTGGATAACTCGCAGGCTCAGCTCTTTGCCTCTTGTATTTTCAAATGATTAACATTTTTTGCTTTGCACATCATGAATATTCTATACTTGAGCTGTTACTGAGTTGTGCTAGATCAGATAAATAACATGGTGTTGCTTTTGTGGCAGACTGGATAAAGATGCAAATAATACTGACATTTACTTCACAGTTTTCTTTCTGTGATCCTCTGAGTGAGTAAACTGGATTGCTGAGATATTCATGGGAAGGAAATGAAGAAGGGTTGTCAAGATAAAAGCAAATTTCCTTAAAACATCACCAGAAGCTTCTTGGCAATTTTTTTCTGTTATTTGCTCAACTGAATAGGACCTGCTCGAAATACATTTTGCACAACTGCAAAAGAAAACTCTTGTTCCTGTGGCACTGCTGAATGGTGGGTTTTGTGCACTCTTTCACTGAGAAGCTGTGGAACTAGATGATAATTTAAGGTCCCTTCAAATCCAAACTGTTCTATGACTGTTTTCCTGTGCTTGGTACCTCTGCAGGGCTGCTCGTCCCACTGTAATAGCAGATGCGCTCTGGATACAGGATACAGGCTATGACCTGAATAAGCCCTTGCTGCTTTCCCTGCCCTCAGTTTTGCCCCTCTTTTTCCTGTGTGTGCTGGGGTGCATGAACCTTGCAGGAGAGAGGGATGGGGTCATCTTTGAACCAGGTGAAGTGACTGCCTGGTTGGGGAGAGGAGCTAAGGCGGATGCTGACCCCGGGAAGGCCTGTTGAATCCTTGGCCACATCCAAAGGAGCATGAGCAGCAGGACAAGAGAGGGGATTCTGCCCCTCTACTCCGTTCTGGTGAGACCTCTCCTGCAGCCCTGCATCCAGCTCTGCAGTCCTTAGTACAGGGAAGGTATGGACTTGCGGGAGAGGGTACAGAGGAAGGTCACAGAAATCAGCAGGATAGAGTATCTCTCCTATGGGGAACAGATGAGAGTTGGGGTTGTTCAGCCTGGAGAAGACTCCATGGACACCTTATTGCTTCAGTTCTTAGAAGGGGCCTATAGGAAAGATGGGGAGAGACTTTTTTGCAGGACCTGTTGTGATAGGATGAGGGATGATGGTTTTAAACTAAAAGAGGGAAGACTCAGGCTGGATGTGAAGAAAAAGTTCTTTACATTGAGGGTGGTAAATACCGCACAGGTTGCCCTGAGAGGTGGTGGGTGCACATCCCTAGAACCATTCAAGACCAGGCTGGATGTGGTTCTGAGCAACCTGATCTAGTTAAAGATGTTCCTGCTTATTGCAGGGGGTTGGAATTTAGATGAGCTTTGAAGGTCCCTTCCAACCCAAACCGATCCGATTCTATGAACCAGAGCTGCCTTGTCACAGTGCATGGGGTGGTGGGGACAGGGTGAATCCCCTTCTGGAGGGATCATTTCAGCTCCCATCTGTGCAGTGGTGACACTCCACGCTGCCAAAGGCTCACGCGCACAAGGACGTGGCCCCTGGGACAAGCACCTTCTGCTGGCAGAGACAGGGATGCTATACCCTGGGGACCCTGGCGTCTGGCGGGGAGGGAGAGCAGCCTGCGGCTCCCCTCCTCCTGGGTGCCATCTTACCTTGGGCCCCGGGGCGATGCCCTGCAAGCAGTGAGGATGCCGGAGGAAGGCAAGAGGCTGAGGAAGACCCTACATTGACTTTTATGTGGCTGCAGCGTGCTGACCCTGAGATGGGAGCAGCAGCGTTTTGGCCTGCCCGGGGGCCCGGCTCGCCGTGGCGCTGCCTGTTTGCTCCAGCTTCCTGCGGGTACAAAAGGGAGGAACCGGACCCACCCTTCCGTCCCCGGGGTGAGGGCTCTGCGTCCGCCCCATAGTGGGTTGCGGAGGTGGGGTCCCCCGAGCAGGATTGATGGGGGAGGGTGACGGCGCCTGCGCTGAGCCGCCAGGGGGCGCCGTCCCCCTTCGGACAGCAGCTAGCGGCGGGCGGAGGCGGAGCGCTCCGCGGGGATTGGCGGGGTGGTGACAGAGGCGGGGCGAAGGCGGGGAGCGCCGCGGGGATTGGCAGGGCGGTGGCGAGGGGCGGGGCCGGGCGGCGGCGGGGGCCGGCTGCGGCGTGGCCGCTGCTCCACTCGCGGCGGCGATGTGACCCGGGCGGCGTGGGGAGGCGGCGCGGTTCCGGCCCCGTCCCGGCCAGACCCGACCTACCCCGGCCCGTCCCGCGGACGCACCCCCATGCCCGCTCACGGCCGCCCGCCGGTAGCGGCTGACGCCTGCGGAGCAGACACGCGAGGAGCCCGGGGAGGCGATGGCTGCGGATCTGGTGGTGTTGCTCTGCCTGGCTGCCGCCGCGGCCGCCGTGGAAGGTGAGACGCGACCGGGACCGGGAATGGGAATGGGAATGGGAAAGGAGTCGGGGGTGATGCTCAGCCGCGAGTCCCAGCGCCGCGGGGAACCGGCTCCCCCGTCGCGCAGTGTGCCGCGGGCGGCAGACTGTCACGGGGCTGGCTCCCGGCGCGGTCCCTGTCCGTTTCGAGGGGCGCGGAGCTCCCCTTGGCGCCGGCCGGTCCTGGCAGCCGCTCTCCCGCAGCCGGGGGGAGCCGGTGCTGGCAGCACGGGGCTCGCCCGCGGCCGTGGGTGGCTGCGGGAAGGGGCTGGGGGTTTTCCAGCGCTCGGGGGCGGCTGTGGAAAAGCCGTCCGGATCTGCGTGGGACCGGCGGCTGCTCCGGATGCTGTCCCCGGCAGAGCCCTGCCTGGGGTCGCGGTGGGGAACACCTCCAGGGGCCGTGGCTGTGCAGTAGGCTGCCTCTGGCTGTCTTCCTCCTCCCGTGCTTCCCAGCAGCACCCGTGAAAGCTTTGAGTCAAAGGAGGATGGGTGCACCTGCGATGTGGGCAAGGGGTCTCCTTTCTTTGGGATGGGCTGGTCCAGGAAATGCTTGTCCCATTGGTGGGCAGATGCATGGACATCCCTTCGGCGAGGTCCGTGCTGTCGGGCTGAAGTCTTTTTTCCCCATCAACCTGCCTGGCTGTGGGACTCTGTGCACTGGGATGGTGCCCACGGTTGAGACCCAGCCTCTGGGTGCTGGGCCTGGCAGGACAGCCAGGTCGCCCCAGGCTGGTGTTGGTGGTGCATTGCTGCTCTGGCTGGTGTGGCTTTGGAAGTATTTATTGGGTTATTGGTTTGCTTTATTTTGCTACTGCCTCCTTTGCTCCTGGTACAACACGAGCAAAGAGGCCGTGGCAGGGGTTGCCTGGTGCTTGAGCAGTATCTGTGAGTGAGGAATATTGTGTGGTCCCCCGCTTGAGGCAACAAGAAGCATGTGGCTACAGAAAGATGATGCATGGAGTCTTGTGGGCTAGCTGAGGTGCTGGCCTGTGTGGGGTTTGTCCCCTCTTTAGGGTGATACAGCTATTATGAGCATGGTTACAGCTGAACTAGATACTGATAGAGCTGGCTGGAGAGTGGCAGCTCAGCTCTGGGCAGCACAGAGCTGGTTCAGGAGCTGGAATGCTGCTGTGATGGTCTCCAGTGGGATGGGAGTGTTGGCCATGGTTGCCCTCTGCTCACAAGCATGCCTGCTGGGTTGTGGCAGCCAGGCCCATTTGCTGCAGCATCTACTTTCTGCCAGCTTTTGGCTGAGCCAGGCATTTGCTTTCTTATTTCTCAGGCTTCCTCCCTCGTTTCATCTCTGTATAGAAATAACTCGAGGTGGAAATGCTGATGTGTTGCTTAAGCGTGATGCAAACGGGTGCATGCTTGCTTGGTCGCAAAGCCGCACGTGAAGATGCCAGACCTGTTAGCAGCACTTCACTAGCTGGTGTTTGCAGCGTCAGCTGCTTGAGGTACTGCTGACATCGCGGCTGTCTGGGAGACCTCGGCTTGGTCCCTGTCTGAGAGCAGTCTCCTGGGTGATGTGTCTGTCTGTCTGTCATGCAGGGTCTTCCCCTGCTTGCCCCAAGCCATCCCTGGGAGTGTGTGCTGGGCTGGCAGAGCCAGCATCCTTGCCTGGGACTGAACCTGTTGAAGAGCAGTGTCATTTCTACTCAGCTGAGGAAATGGCTTGGATAGTAAAGTAGTATCCTGGGGGAGACCTCAGATTAAAGGGGAAATTTTGGATGAGAAATTCCTGAGGCAAAGCAATCGAATCTGGTTTGGACTTAAGGCGACAGGCTGCTGGCATCGTTATATAAGGAAAACACCTTTTTATGGAGCTTATTTAAATCGCATGGATCCTCCTGGTGCAGAGGTCACATTTGCTCGATTGAAACATGGGTTTTGCTGCCTAAGCTGAAGCATTTCCTAGAGCCTGACCTACCTTGGGGTCTGGCTTTTCCCCTGGAACAACCATGAGACCGGTTTTGCCAGCAGCCCTCTCTGACAGCAAGTCAAAGCCACGGCTGGAGGATGGCTGTGCCATGGCTCCCTGTGTCCCAGATGAGCCATCCGAACAAAAAGTCTTTTTTCTGGGATGCGGGGGGGGGGGGGGGGGGTAGGGGGAGAGTTGTTTGAGGGTCTGGACCCGGTTGGAGGGGGAGGAGGAGGAGGATGCAGCCGGGGTCAGGGCTGCCTGCAAACATCTCTTTATCCTCCATAAAACCTTGCTAACTCATTGCCTGCGGCACATGAACCTGGAGATAGTGGAGTCGCTTATCTGAGTTTTCTTATGGTTACTTGATTTTTACCAAATCTTGGGGCTTGGCTGGCTGCTTTCTGCTGGACACCTGGATCTTTATAGTAGTTTTAAAATCTTTTTGTGGCTTGTGAAGAGGAAGAGGGACATGAGAAGATGACAGGAAGAAATACTCCATCTCTCCCACACCCTGCAATCACTCAGGCGCCGCTCGTGTGCTCTCTCTTGTGTTAGCTGAACCAAATATAGTCACATTTAGCATATAGAGAGGATGGTAATGGGACATTGCTGCGCCTTTTAATACAGGAGTTGTTGGAATTTGAGGTGCTGGTATGTCAGTTGGGGCTGATGTCCATTTTGGTGCAGTTTCTCCACACAGGATATTTAATCTGCGTGCCTGCTCACCTATCCATCATCTCTCTGCCTCATGCCTGCTCTTTTAAAAGACAGATTTTTCTCTCCATCTCCTGTATTGCTGCTTGCAGCATTACGATAAGCAAAGCAAGGGGGGAGGGAGGTGAAAAGCTTCACTCAGGGCTGGCAGATCCGGCTTAGTTTTGCTTTCTGTGCTTATGTGCTTGCTTACCTGCCTTGCCTTCGGAATCACAGCCTGAGGGAGGACCGGGGATGAAGAGTTTGCATACAGCATGTTGTCCCTGGCTCCTACTCATTGCGTGCCGCCCATCCCAGGCGCCCTCTCTCCTCCCGTTTTGGCTCGGGATGCACACATCTGTTGCAGGCATCCTTTGGGCTTCCTCTGCTTCCGTCAGGCGCCGGAGTGGTGCCTGCACCGAGCAAGCTGAGAGCCGGTGGCTGCCGCACCACCCTTCCCATCACCGCTGTCACCATGTGAGCTTCCACCTTTGGCCCAGCTACTTCACCGGGAGCAGAGCAGTTTTCAAGGAGAAGCTAGGAACAAGTCTTCAGGAGAGATTTGCAAGTGCTGTTATCCTGCATGGGAATTTGCAAGTGCTGATATCTAGCCATTCCTTTACTCTTACTTTTTTGCACTAACTGTTTGGGAAAGAAAAAACCCCAAAACCTCAAGGGGAATAACTTTATCCTTGGCATGATGAGTGAGCCCAGATCTTGTTAGCCTGAAGGGAAAGCATTTTGTCAAGTCATAGAAAACTGCCCTGAGACTGCAGATACCTGTGTTGCTGGTATTTTTTTGGTTTTACTAATTGCTGGTATCTCCAGTCAATAAAAATGTGAGGTTTGTGATAAATGCGTATATTTTTCTGCTCTTTCTGCTTACTGTCTCCCTATGGACACAGTGTTGCTGTCCTGTGCTCCAGAATGTTTAGCGGCCCTGTCTACTGTGGCATGAGCTGCCGGGGAAGGTTTGTAAGGTGGCCTCATCCCTACCCCAGATGCAGCTCCTAGCACAACATGACAGAGTAAAAATCTTCTGCTGGCCATAAGAATCGGAAGAAAATATTGATGCCTATGAAGTAGCCTGAATGTGTTTGGCTCTGGATCCAGACCACGGTGCTAAATAATAGATGTTTCTAGCAGAAATGGATTCTGTAAGTGAAAGAAATACTCAGATTTGGTGAAAGGGGGAAAATAGTTCCTTGGGCAATGGGGAACTCAATGCTGATCAGGTCAGCAAAGTCTTGGTCCCTAGTGCAGAAGGACTGCTGTGGGGTGTAGATGAGGCCCTTAGTGACATAGTTTAATGGTGGACTTAACTTGGCAGTCCTGGGGTAGAGGTTGGACTTGATGATCTTAAAGGTCTTTTCCAACCTAGTTGATTCTATGAGGCTAATGGAAGACATGCTCAGAGCAAGGCTGAGGCTCTCAGAGTGCTGCTCTTGTAATGCCTGTGGTGTGTGCTGCACCACTCCAGCTGAGATCCAGACAGCTCAAGGAGGCTTTTTATACCTCTCCCAGCTGCGGGTACGAGCTCATCATACTCTGATGCGGAAATAGCTTCATGGAGGATACCCAGACTTCTGTGATACAGCCCAAAAGACACTGCAGTGCTCCGTTCCCTCTGAACAGACACAGTTGGTATAAGCAGTCATTTAACAGCACAGGGAGGCTGAGTAAATAGTTGGGGTTGGGGGAGGGAATGTTTTCCCCAAATATTCATTAGAATTTGAAAGTGCATTTCAATTTGACCTTGTTCTCTTTCTGCAAACATTTGAGCTATCAAGCATTGCATGCTTGAATACTTGCACAAGGCAAATGTTAAGCTTGGGTATTTGCTGGGTAGTGATTTGGAAAGGCACAGCCTCAGTTGTGATGTTACAAAGCCAGAGTGCCTGTTGCTCATGGAGGTCTACAGAGCTGGGGTGATGGGAGTGGTGTGGATATCCCACATGGTAGAAGTCCACTGGTGACCGAGAGCACCTTGCAAAGTGATGCTGAGTGGTGGGGATGGCAAATGAACATGAATCCAGAAGACTTTTGGATGCATCATGGTCCACCTGTGAACACAGGGTGCTTCTGCTGGCTGGGCCTCCAGCATCCCTCCCATTTTCCCCTCTTGGTGGAGGTTGGTGTGGGAGGAGAAAGAGATGGAGTGATATCAGAGCAGCATCAGGAGAGAGCGGGGATCTTGGATGGCCCCGGAATGCCAGGCTGGTTATTGCACAGTCCAGTTTTTAGGGGCTAAAACTAGTCTTTCCAAAGGTGAGCAGCTTGAGAGGCTGCATCAGAGTGTGCAGGAGTGGGAGCAGGCACAGGGGACTGATGTGGACACCATCCAGTAGCAGGTAGAGGCAGCA